AGCAGAAGAAAACAACCTTGAAACCTGCCTTCAGTGAGGCTGGAGTTTTGTAATTACTTGGGGTCAACCTAATTGCAGGTTGGTGCTGAACGGGGGGATTCTGCCAGGCCCCCTCCCTCCAGCTGTGGTTTCCCACCTCCCTTTTGTGATGGTACAACACCTTGTAGCTGCAGGGGGGGCCTGAACAGGGAACTGGTTCAATGCAACAAAAGTTAGGAGGGGAAAGGCGGGATACTGGTTTTTAGCAGGCTTGTGGCTCCCTGCGCAGCCATGTCGTCCTGGTCTGTGGCACGAGGGTGACAGAGGCAGAATGAAGAGGGATGGCTCCTGGGGAGCCTAAAAGGGGCTGGAAATAGTTGCATTAAAGGAAGACAAATTCACTTCAAGTTGATTGTTGTTACAGTGGATAGCAGATTGACCCTCCTAGGTTTAGATTTTTTTTTTTATATTGCATGAAAGAAACCTTTTAATGTATGTTTTCTGAGGATTGCTTTTAATGACTCCTGCTCTTAAGAGCACAAGACTTTCTTGTCTCCTCTCTTCCCACTGTCTCCCTCCCACCCCCAATAAATTCATTGAAATGGGTCAAAGTAGAAACCCTGGAGAGAGTTCTTTAGTTATCTATAGCTTAAGCAGTGTGAGCTATGTCTGCCCTAAATCGATGGGACTTTGGGGCAAGGGGAAAGATAATGGTCTTGCTTGTTCTCTCTCAAAATGTGCTCCAAGTAGAGACTCGCTTTTTGCAGGGGCAATTGAACGGTGGCTATTTTTGGCCAGAAAGTTTATTAGCCAGTGTGGAATCAGTGGAACTAAAGCTTCCAGGCTTTGAATCCTTTCTGTAGTCAGGTCATCACTGCGACACCTTTGGCCCTGGTTTCTGTTTGCTTTTCATTGGAACCTTTTTGATTTCAAAGCTGTGGAGCATGACTCTGAGACATGGTCTCCTATTTCTGTTACGCTCTAAAGGACACTCCAGTATGCTTCTGTCTGTACGGTATTACATCTCCTTTTACTTAACATCTACTTAGAGAGTGGTTGCAAGGCTTGGGAAGCATGTATACCTTTGAGTGTTACACAGTACTCAGGTTTGAAATCTCAAAGTTAATACTATTTACCCCTTAATCCATGCTTGCTTGCAGAAGTAATGCATTGGCCATATTGAATTTATAAAAAAATTGGGGCATCTCATGAGATCAAATCACAGACGTGTGAAAAATCTTCTGTTAATGTTTGTGGGTTGTAATCCTATATCTATTAGTATGTTTAAATAAATGAAACTTGTAGTGTACGTGGTTGAGATCAAGTAAGGAAGTACCAAATAGTGATTTTCCAAATAGTTTTGATTTGGGGCTTGTTAAATATGACATAGCTTGAAGATTTAATATCTCGTTTTATATCAGATCTTGTATACGGAGCTAGATATCTACTGTTTCTCCTCTGGAATTGCATCTTACTGTATCTGATGTTAGTAAATGCTAGGCAAGATCTTGAGCTTTTGGGCTTCAGCCCACAGCGTCAAACAGTTCAGTGTAGTTGCATGATGGCATTTCTCCTTGGCGATGTCTGTACCTGAGATGTCACATACAGAAATATTTTGTGGTGAGAAATCGTCATACCTGTCCCAGGAGGAATTCTGAAAGTAACGGGAGGGTGCCTGTAGTAAGTGCGTTGGGGCACTGGTGTCAATCAGGCAGTGAGGGCAAGGTTAGTCTTCATCTGCCACCTGACTCTTCATGATAGCACAAAATATGAAATATGGTTTACTTTTTAATTGGCCCTTTTTCTTTCTTGTTTCTCAACTTGGAAGTATAGGTCTTTAGAAGTCTACTTTTCCATTTGTACGGTTACTTGCTAGCACTCTATATTGTAAAGCAAAGCATTTGATTCCTTGGTCTACTGAAATTCCCTCTTACTTCGTGATTTGTGTTTTCTTTGCTTTGCTTTAAATGTGTGCTTCCTTTTTAAATATAGTTTTCCAAGTTGCTGGCCGTACCAGATTGTTTATATTTTTTAAAAGCCTTCTGCTTAGCCGTTATATTGCTCTTTATAGTACTGCTTAACCACATTGGTTTCTGTTGCTCTTTTTTCTTGCATAAACTTAGCTGGGATGAATTTCAAATGTGGTTTATCCAACTGTTAAGTATTTCCCACTTTTCTGCAATAGATTTCACATATGTTACAGAATTCCAAACCAAGATCTGGTGGACATATTGCCCTGTTTTTTTCCTCAAAGTCAGAAATAGAGGGTTTTTTTTAAGCATTACATTGACAATATTTAGGTCCTTGGCTCCAGCATGCTGCCTAGCTTCAAATCTATTTGTCATATTTAGCTTATTTCCAAGGATTAAGATAACTATGGTCCGTATATTTATTAAGAAAAAAAGCGTCTCTTAATTTTGTGGTAATAAACCTAAAGGGGGGAAAAGTATTGATCCTTTTGAGTTGGAAGCTGCGGAAGGCTTCTCCCGCTCCCTGCCCCGAGGTCAAACTGTGGAGTCACATAAAACACGTACATCCATCCAGGCATTCAAAGTTACAGGATTTACCCATACAAAAGTGTAACTAAGAATTTGGAATTAGGCTTTTTCACAGAGTGTCTAGAAGAAAGTTCAGGAGCCGAATTACCTTTTACTTTTTATCTGCTAGTCCTGTGTGTTCTTTTTTTAAACTTGCCGAACAGGGGTTTATAGCAGGTGCGCCATAGGTACCTGCGGTCTGTTGCTATTTCTAACTCCTCTGCAAAAATAGGAAGAGGCAAGTCTGTTGTTTTCCCATTTTGTTTCCCCGTACTGGGTGCCCAGTTCTACTGGGAAGTATATATGACCCAATGCATGGTAAAGTTTTTATGCTAACTATCTAGTAGTAACCAAATCTGCTTTACTTTTACCCTGGTTCTTGTGTGTGGTGGTATCAAGAGATGACCTGGTCAGTGACTTGTCCAACTACTGGAATTAGACCCAACAGGAGGGCCCAGGCTTGGTTTTTTTGGTCTGATCTGTTACAGGTTGTTGAGTTACAAACAAATGCCAGTGGCACGGCAGGTTTTTTGGTGGAGAATACTGGGTTTTTTGCATGCAGGCTGGAGGCGCGTTGGCAGAGTGGCATGATGAAGATAGCTGCAGATGAGACCTGCTTTATGTCTTGCTCTAGCACGTTGTTCTTGCTTTTTGTGAACTTCTTTCTCATCGCCAGGTTTTTCTCCTTTCAAATGAATAAGGGAGGAAAACAGTGCCAAATTCCTCTTAGGAATTTTTGGTTATAACCCCAAGTGACTTGGGGAATGATGTACATAGCCGAGTGGAGGGTTAAGCTGTTATTTTTTTCATGTTACATGGAAATACTGCAGAAAAGGAATAAACTGACAGGGAAGATTTGAGTGTTGTTGGTTTATGTGCTGATAAGTGACCCGTTCAATCTATTATGGTGACATTTGGAAGCACAGCACTGACTAAAGAAACTGGGATGGGGATAATGCACTCGGACGAAGCTGGGCAAGGCTCTGTAGGCTGAGCCCCTACTTCCGCCTAGTAGAAGCTGTTGGAAGATAATCTGGCATTCATCAGATGATGATTAAAAAAAATATGTTTTGGGGAGGAAGCAGGGATATCTGCTAATAATTTTAGAGCAATAGATTCCAATAGTAGGAAAAGATAACTTTGTATTCAAATAAGGAAAGACTTAAATGGAAAAAGAGCATTGCAGTGGCAGTATAGAACTATATACAGTATGTCATTTGAAATGAAGAGTGACTGAAGTGTAACCAGTCTAACCTGAAGTATAAGGTTAAGCAATATTTGAGTTAATCATAACGTTTTTTCATAGGGTAACTCAAAAAGGGAAAATCCAGTATCTTTAAAAAGCAGGCAGGTGAAAATAAACCTGCGTTGAACGTATCCAAGATCTGTAATCTTCACTGGCTTTGGGAATTTATTAGGAGGTGTGTATTGCATGCCACTGCTGCTGTCCTGTGTAACGTTGTGGTAAAGCCAGGAATGCTTTTGAGAAAAACGGTGATATTTTGGTTGCAAGATGGAATCAGAAAGATGATAGAACTTCATTTGATGTTATTTAGGAGGTCCAGTTTCTGGAAGCTTGGTGCTTTGTTCTGTACTGCTCTGTAGTCCATCCGTCTCGATATTCCGAACTGCATGATGTGCATATGAGCTTTTATTTTTATTTCTGTGAGAAACTGAGCTCTAATGATAGTTCCTTTTTTTTGTTTTGTTTTTTTCTTGACAGAGAGAGCTCGATGCCACAGCAACAATATTGGCTAACCGGCAAGATGAAAGTGAGCAGTCTAGGAAAAAACTTATTGAGCAAAGTCGTGAGTTCAAGAAAAACACTCCAGAGGTAAGGAGAAAAGCTGTTCCAGTCTGAGTTTCTTGCAGTAGTATATGGTATTAGGCCTACTTCAGTGTTGTTTTTTTTTCTCTTAATGGTTTGTTTCCGTGATTTTCTCATATGTATTGCTAAGTCCATCATCTTAACTAAGACTGCTTATCTTTGATGGCTTTCTCTTCAGGCAGTTTTTGCGTTCTGTAAATAATGAAATATGAATTGAAGTTTTTAGAAGAAGTACGAACATTAGCCTTCCAACAGGCTTGCTCTAAACTTTGTAAAGAATTCTTCTTCACTAATCCAAACTCTCTTAGCGCTTGGATGTAGAAAGTGACATTTCAGTGCCTGAATAAATCTGTATCAAGGGCATAACTTCAAAGATGCTCATTTTCCCATCAAAAATCAAATTAAGTTTTGCTGTTGATTTCGCTGGAAATGCAACAAGGTCAGTGCTGAGCTCTCTAGAAAACTCCCCTCGGAGGACGTGCATCGCACGCAGCAGGTGGTGTGTAAAGGGTGTCAAGACCGGTGCTAGGGAACCTCGGAAAGGTGAATGCTGCGTGTAGGAAGCTGGGAGTATTTAAACTCTTCTGTGCTCATGTTAGCATGTGCAGCCTGCGTGTCTGTGTACATGTATGCATAATTGTGTAGAAAATACATATAAACTAATTTTATTAACAGTAATGAATGCATAGCTATGTGTAGGGTGCTTTTTTTTTGTTTGGTTTGTTTGTTTTGTGGTGGGGTTGGTTTTTTTCCCCCGATGATTGCCAGCAATCTGTTCATCCAGGAACGTTCTGGGGTTTCAAAGCCCGTTCCAGATAACCGATACAGAAGTATCGGTGCCTTCCAAGTGCCTTCCTGGGAGAGAAGCAGCAGGCAGCTTTTCTAACCTTTATTGCTGCTTCTCAAGTAGCAGATGCTGCTTTGCTTCCCGTTGGTACAGAGGGAGAGATGCTGGAGGAGCCTGACCTGGAGAGGGGAGAGGGAATGTCGGCGCAGGAGTGACTTACGGGGCTGGGGGAGTGTTTAACTGGCGCCCTGAGGAGGCCCTGTGGGGCAGAAATCAGGTCTCTGTGTTTGAAAAAGAGAAAATTTGGGGACTGCAGCTTTGAAGGAACAGAACTTAGAAAGGATCAAAAGAGTATGGAGCATGAATGCAGTAGCTCTGAGAGGGTGAGGGATGGGTTGTTTGCCTTTGCAGGAGAGAACAAACTATTGGGAAGAGGAGAAGGAAGCAGAGAAGGGAAAGGATATGGAGGGTATAGGAAATTGTACAAAATCCAGAAAATAAATAGACTTCTGGGGCCACATTTTCGAATTGTTTGCTAGAAGCTCGAGTTCATTCTGCAAGACTTACTTGACTTGCCTGCTTCCTTCCTTTATTTCCTATAAGGAAAACGCCAGATTCTTCAGAATGTGGCTGTAGCTGCCAGTCCTAGCTGACAGCACGTTTGCAGGTGTGTTTCAGGATGATTTCTTTTGGCCAATTTTAATTTTATGGAGCAGAAGGTTACTGTGGGGGAAGAAAACCCCCAAACACTGCACCTTGAAGTGTGTTGTGAGAGGGCCTTGGTAACTCGGTGGAAGTTGATGTGCAGAGGAAAATTATATACTCTGTATAGTTACTTCAAGAGATACAGTGGGAAAACAATGTGCAATTAGTTCTTTCCAGTAAGCAAGATAGGGAAGGGAATGGCCCCTGCTGTTAAATCATTTGATGGTGAGGTTTTAAATGCACTTTTAGAAAATATAGTTCTGTAGCCTTCCATATAATATTTTGGAAGAGAATAGAGGTGTTTCATTCATTCAGGGACTAGATTCAAAAGAATGGCTCTGAACATACCCAGTGCTGGGGGAAATTTGGATCTGTGCTAGATTCCACAAACTGATCTTGTGTCCTGGGACTCCTCTGAAACCACGTTCTTTTATAAGCTTGCATGGATTTTTTTTTTTTTTAGTATTCTTTTTTTCTTTCTCTGTCTTCTCTATTGTGATGTTCTTTCTGCAGCTTTGTTTCTGAACAGCAACATGATCTAACTCCTCTTCTGCTTTCTCTGACAGAATTAAAAAACAAAAACAGGGTCAAAGAATTAGAAGAAAGTATCCGAATGGTAATAATAGCCAGCTGTAACAGACGTGGCTTGCAGTTATTGCTCCCAGAGGCAGGGAGGAAGGAGCTCAGATGTACAAGGTCTACAGGGCCACCCTCTCCTCTCCTGTCCAAGGTGCTTGGTGTGGGAGACGGGGGTGGCTAAGAGGCAAAACCGGAGTGAGGCAGTGTCCGGCTGTCCTTGCTGGAAAACTTCACTGGCATTCCTCTTTACACAAAAGTTGACGTTTGTGCACTGCTGTGTTCATCTGCAGCTGTTTTCTGCACTTCCCAAAAAGAAGGGAAGTCTGTGAATACTTCGAAAACTGTCTAAGCTTTGAGAAGACAGTTGAAAATTAGAAGGCAAGATTATTAACTGCTTGACCTTATTTTTCCCAAAACTGCAGCTTTGTCTGAAAACCTACCCAATATGGTGAAAGCATCCTTGAGGTGGACAGGAGATGCACTGTGAGCCACTGGGATTTCCAAACTGATACATTTATGTTACTAAAACATCAAACATGCTCTTTCTAATAACAAAAAAGAGTTCCATAGTAGAAGACCAGCTTGCAAGCAGAACCATTCTTCAGATAAATAAATAACCCAGTGTACAGCTTTAAATTTCCATGATTAAGTAACATCTTTCTTGGTACAAAAAAACCCCAAACCACAAAGATGGAATTGTTAAATGTAACAATTTGTTTCAGAATTCTACTTTCCATTTTCTTTTTCATTCTGCATGCATCCCCGTCAGAGCAGTAGTGGTTTAGCCTGTGCCAGCATCTCTTTTCCTCTGCTGTAGCCAGTCTCACCATAAATCAGGAGACAAGTGTCGATTGCCTTGACTTTCCTATCCATTGCTGTCTGGGATGTCCTCTAGACTTTCCATAATGTCTGCTTGCAAGCAGTCTCCTCTGTAGCAGAAAAGGATTCAAAAAAATTACTAATGAAGCTGAGGATATTTATACTTCTGTTTCTTTTTACTTTAAAAATGCGACAGATCTATTTGGGTCAATTCTGCCTTCCTTGCAAATTATCAAATTGCTGCAAAAGAAATATAATATTTTCATGTTTATAGGGATGACTCTAGGGCTTTTGGTATTTAAAAATGTTAAAATACTATTTCTGACTTGGCATACTGGGAAATGACTCTGGGGAGAAGTATCTCATGTTTGGGAACCTTATGAGAACAGAAAATTTGTTAGTGGTTCTTACATACAGAAACTTTTGGAAAGGGTTCGTAATTCCTGTTATTCCACAAATACTTTTTACTTCCTCACACCTTTTAAGAGGCCATATCAGACCTGCTGCTCATAGATGTTTTGGGGTATTTTCAGTCTCAATTTGTTTCATCCTGAGCAGCTACTGCAGAAGGCTGAGCCTGGTCAGGAGATTACTTGAAACATCAATTTTACATGACTGTTACTTGGAAGACATCTCAAAATATATCATGTGAATTGCCACCCTGCGTCAGATGATTACTTTCTTATAGTGATAATTCCTGAACTATTGTGACTAACTGTGATACTTTTGGGGTATTTTAACCTCTGTGAAATTCTTGGTCTGCTTCATCATGTCCTCATATGCCGATCCTGGTGTGAATAAGCAAATGTTTGAATGACCATCTCTGAGAAATTTTTTTTATTTGCTAAATAATTTCAGTTGCGGAGGTTAATAATTTTTGGCACAAAGTGAAGATACGTCCTAACGGTGATAGTGTTGCCTTCGTTTCTACCCAGATTCCTAGTTGAGTAACTACTCTTACCTGTTTCTGTTTTAAACATTGAAAAGCTTATCTAATACTTGCAGTGGTGCATACTTTTCAGCTAATCAACAACAACAGTGAAAAATACCAGAAAACAAATAACTGAGTAACCCAGACTTTGTAAATAAGTAATATGTAATTGTTAAATACTCATGGAGAGTAATAATAATAATAATAATAATAATAATAATAATAATAATAATAATAATACTTAGAACTGTTTAACCTATAACTCTCCCTTGCTTTCCTTATGATTTAGCCATGTAAACTAGATAGTTGCCGAGCTATGTCTGTTATTACCAGGCTCACCTGAGACATGGGTCATTAAACTGAGCACAAGACAAAAGACCAGCCTGAGAGGCCTGGGCCGGCTGCTCTTGGGAAATAAAATAAGATACTAGTTTTCTAATGTGAGAGCATGAGCTCTAAAAAATCAGGCAGATGTGACGTTCCTGCATAAAGCATACATTTGGATACAGGAGCTTACCCTGTGAGCTTCTTCCTTTGGTCACTGGTTTTTTCCCTGATGGTAAGTTGAACTGATGATTCCTCGCTGTTGTTGCCCTTTACTTTTCTTGGTTGCAGATGTACTCTATTGGTGAGACTTAGAAAGTCAAGGTTACCTTTAAGTGCTCAAATTGTCATCTGTATTTTGTAACGCAGATTAAAGATTGGATCGGCAGAGTTATGGAAGGACATGGGAGAACCTTTAAACATAGGCATAGACATAGGCATAGACAGCATAAGTATGTTCTCAAATAAGTAGCTTTAAAATGCCCTGGAAAATGGAATATTGGAAGGTGCCAGAAAACAAAATAAATGAGCACATGAAAAGCATATCTTAACGCTGACTGAACAGATGTGGCTGCCTGCTGACCCCAAGCACTTTTATAAATAAATACAAGTTCTGCAGTGTGACAGCGATGCTGGCACTGAGGACCATCCAGCGCTGCACTGTTGTGTGTACTCCCATGAGCTCGTGTACGTGTGTGAACAGAAGTCGGTTCAGCCACTTTCAACGTATTTACACTGCATCTGTCATTGTACACGACCAATTCCGTGCTGCTTGGTTGATGTCTAATGAGTGGCATTACCTGCCTGTGTAAAACCTGGCTTTCGCTGTTGCCCTTGTTACCTGAACTGGTGCCATCGTCC